TAATTGCAACTGTTGCCAGCTTGGCGCCATATCGCAGCGACAATGGCAGCGCTGCCGTTGTCATTCCCATTCCCATTGTCAACGGTAGAGCAGGAGCTGGTGCAGCTGCAGCAGGAGACGTCTACAACTTTTTGGCTGCCCGCGCTGCCGCTTTAACCCTTGGGATGGCTGCTGTCGCTTTTGCAACGCGTTGGTGTGTGAAATAGACAACTTGCATTCCGACGCGTGTGACGCTGTGTGTGTGTGTGTATGTGTGTGCGTGAGGCTGCTCACCTTCAACTTCTTTAAAAAGCAAGGGAAACCTGCCAGCTAAAAAAAAGAGACGCAAAAGAAAGGAAAAACTGCAGGCAGTCGGCGAATTTCGTTTTTCGCCAGCACATTTTTCACTGCCATGTGCCAGCCTGATGTCGTTTTTTTTTTTTTATTTAATACTTTTTTATTCATTTTTTTTCCAGCACTGGCACCTGGGGAATTTACGTGTGCATGCGTGCGCTTAGCATACCCTTAAAACTGTGCAACCTCTGGAGCCAACGCTTTGCGGCTGGTCTCCCTTCGGCCCTCTACTGCATTTTTTGTTGCTTTTCTTTATTGCGGTTAAGCAAAAATAATGTTTCTCACGCCACCTTCCAGCTAAACGATGCATTATACGTAAATTCTCTAGAGACTTTTGCGTGCTTTTATTTTCATTTCAAATAATTTATTTTTGGTGTAAATTCAATTTTCCTCAAGTCAGTTTAATTTAAAGTTAATATTATAGCATTTTTCTCTATCACAAACGAAAGTCTGAGTCAAATTTAAACGTAATATGTATATATACCCTTCTCGTTCGCACTCTTTGTTTATTGCTTTTAATTGCGCTATTCTAGCATTCAACAACAAGGGTTGATAGCCACTTCACACATTTAAGGCTTTTGCCGCGAGGCAGACAACAAGCAGAGTGGCGCAGTGGAAGCGTGCTGGGCCCATAACCCAGAGGTCCGAGGATCGAAACCTTGCTCTGCTATAGATAAGGAAAATGTGTGATTTCTTTTTTTTTAATTTTTATTGAATGCCTAGTGAAATAAAAAGACCATTTTAGATTTTTTAAATTTATTTTTTGTGTTTTTATTGTATTTCATTGTTTGTTTTTGTTGTTTGTTGATGTTTGTTTTTCATGTTTTTTTACTTTACTGCTAAATAACTTTAAATGTGGTAATTTCTTGACCATATGCGCTCATACATCTTCATCTGCTTTTCCCTTTTGACTGCTTTTCATTTCTTCCCTTTGCTTCTTCTTGTTCTGGTTAGTTTCGCAACTGCAACAAAATTACGATGTTTGCTGTGCATCTCTTTATTTATCATCTTTACTCATCTTGTTCTTTACATGTATATAATAACTAAATTTGCTTTATAATAATAAATATAATAATAGTTAATAATGATTTGTTTATTAAATATTTTTAAAAAATGTTCGTTTTTAGGAGTATAATTATCATCATCATCATGATCATTATCATCATTATATTTATCATACTTATTCTCGTTTTAATCGTTGCCAATCGTTCCGAGAGCGAGTTACATTTCTCTCTCTTCGTCTCGCTCGCACTTGCATTCCGAACGGTTCCTCTGTTCCGTCTCAATTTATTTGTTTATTTTCTCGTTTACACAGTGTCAATTCATTATTTTCGCTTAAGCTTAAGAACTATTATTTCGATTCATCATTGTTTTTTTTTCTTTTATGTTTTTGTTTTGTATATATGTATAGGTAATTGAATATACTAGTTCATTAATTAATGTATATAATAATAAGTATATATATTTTAAATACAAAATAATACACACGTTTTAGTACGTTTGCATGTATATCAAATAAAACAAACTACAAAAAATATACAATATTTATGAACACACAAACGAAAAATGAGACAAGATCTAAAACCAACAACAAACAACTTTTAATGAATATCACAAAAAAAAAAAGAAAAGAAATTGAACATAAAATTTTTATAATAATAATAATAATAATAGTTATTTTTAATAAAACATAAAAAGTATATTCGAACACCTATTCAACTTAAGGACCTATAAAAACAATAAATCTTGTGGCTACGTTTTGTGAGAAATACGTTAAGCCGCAGAATAAAACATATAGAAAATTCGTTGATATCACCTGACAAAATGAAAGACTACTTACAGTTAACATACACACACACACACAGACAGATTCAAGTGTGTGTGTGTATGAATTACATTCAATTCAATTAAAATTAAAATTAATTTTTTTTAATATTTTTATACGCACGCATAAATTGTTCACACCTAGTTTACTTTTTCTTCTTCTTCTTAGTTTCATTTCTTAGAATTTTTTCGATTTTCTTTGTTTTTGTTTTTGTAGTACAATAAATTGTTTGTTTGTTTCATTACGTTGCAATATTGATTCATTTTTTGTTCTTTACTTTTCAATAAACACATCACATCATATTCACAATTAATAATCATAATAATCTAATATATGTATGTATGTAAATATATGTATATATGCATATATAAATACATATATATATACATATGTGTGTGTAAATATATAAACTAAAATTAACAATAATAACTATGACTTATGCTGAAAAAAGACTATACCATATATTATTACATTTTATTATTATGGTTCCGCTATTATAATTATACTTTTATATATATATAATCTATTAATTTATTTTTTTTCTGTTTTGTTTTGTATTTGAATGCGCCATGTACAAGCGTCATGTATTACATAAGGGTTAAGTGTGTGTATGTATGTATAGTTGAACAAATTCAAAAACTAGATTGAATCAAAAACATTCAATCTAAATTATATATAAAGTATTAGTATGTAAGGCAAATAAAAGTTTCGTTTCTAGTTTACACCTTCCGCGCGTTGCACGTACTCTAAACGCGCGTGTCACGACGCACGTGTCACGACTGACGATGACAATCGCTTCAACACAAATTTGTATTGGGGGGAATTGCTTAAGTAAAGTTCTTATGATACACAGAATCCTATGTTCATCTATATTTTAGTAGTTTTTTCCTTCCATTCATTTCAAATCTTATGAATTTATTTATAGAACATTTAATTTTTTTTTATTTTTTAATATTTTTTGTATTTTTTTACACAAAAGTCGAGTTAATTTTTTTTGTTGCTGTTTTGCAGCTTATTGTTTTTGCTCCAATTGTTTATTACATTAATGTTTTAGTAACTGTTTAAAATGTTGTCGTGTTTGGTGTTTAGTGTTGTCTAATCTACAAATATGCAATTATTTTATTGTAAACTTTTTTTCTCATTAAATTTTTAAATTGGTTTTTAATTTGTCTGTGTGTATTTGTGTATTTGTTTCGTATTTTATTTTCTCCTTTCTATACAACTTGGCTTTATCGTTCCACTTGCTGTTGTTGTTGTTGTTGCACATAGATTTAAGGTCTGCTTATAATGGACGGAAACTTATTAGGCATTTTTGTTGGAGTTGTTGTTGTTGTTGTAGTCGTTGTTTTAGACTTCTATGGGTTTATTTCTATAAAACGTTTCTTGGTTAACGTTGAAGAAGTAGAGAGTGTGCTTAGTGTATGCGTATATGTACCATAAAAAGGATATCGAATAAATCGAGTAAATATGATTGGTGGACATACTAGAGAATTAGTTAGGTAGATAGCTAGAGATTGAGAGCGAGGGAAATATAGATTAAATCAGAGTCTGAGGAACAAATCATCTGCAGAGAATTAACAAATTTCCGTATATTATAATCAGCCCTTAAATGTATATGTATAAGTGTATAACGCTTAAAACTTGAGAACGATCTTAGCTTACGTTGATTAAGTTGATTTTTATCTTTAGGTATTTAGTTTTTTTTTTTTCGTTTTTCTTTCTTTTTTCTTTCTATGCATATTCGAGTTTTTCTCTTTACTAATTTATCTTTAAGTGTATTGATTAATGGAACCGATTTAAAATTACATTTAGCTTTTATATTTCATATTTTCTTTTTTTTTTTTTTTCTTTTTTAAATTTTTATTTCAGAAACTTTTCTAATATTGATTGCTACTATTCATTATTCATATACATGTGTATATAAAATGATTTTTTACCTTTATCCAGTTTCTGTTCGCTTTACATGTAAATTGATGTCAATTGTTTATTTCCACTTCTACTTCGCCTTGTTATTGATTTCTCATATTATGTTCGTTCGTTTTTATTTTTGTTTCTTTAAAAGATCACATTTCATGTTTTAGTTGCCATTAGTATATATGTGTACATGTATTCATATATATTCATGGATGTATATATATAAGTATATAGTTATGTATTCTTGTATTATATGTTTCTATACATAAATATATGCATATACATATCTTGTATATAATAAGTAAGTTTTCCTTCTTCTTTCTTTTGGTAATTATTGTTAGTGTTATTTTATCTGTTTTTAGTGTTGTGTAGTGTTTCACGATTCAATTATATTTATCAAAAATGAAATGAAAATCAGTTAGAAGTAAGACCATTTCTGTCGGTTTGTTAATATACATATTATACATATATTAATTTCAATTGATCTTACACTTACAAATTTTATATAGGAAGATACAGTACGTTAGTTTTTTTCCTTTTACTTTTGAAATTCTGTTTGTGTGTGTGTGTGTGTGTGTAATATCTGAGAGTGTACGTGTGTCTTATGAAATGTTTGCTTTTTAATATTATTTCATTTTTCTAGAGATTTCAGCTAAATTAATAATACACTTTTAAAAAATTTAGTTATCAGTGTTTTCGTTTTTCTTTTTATATAATTTAATTTTGTTTTCTTATGCAAAAAATGCTTACGGTTTAAATTTGATTATACTTTTAGTGTTTGCTTTTGATGCTTCTTCTTCTTCTTCATCGTCAGATATTTCTCGATTCTCCGTCTTTATTGTGTATTGTAATTTGTATATAAAAAAATATGTTTATTAGATTTTATTTGCATTTCCTTTTCGTGTTTCCTTTCTTTATTCGTTCTCTCTTTATTCTTCTGTAGTTTGCTGATGCGCTTGTTTATAAAATGTAAAAAAAGGAATATGGTTTCGTTTCATTTTCTTGCATTTAGACAAAAAGAAAAAAAAAACCCTTTGAAATGGTTTGCGATGCATCTGCTTTCTGTTTTTGCTCTGTTTTATTCGGTTTTCTTAACTGTTTTGTAGTAAATCGTTGTTGCAAAAATAGGACGTGACTGTACTTATTATATTTTTATTTTTATTTATTTTTGTTTGTTATTAATTTGTTACTCGTATCGGTTGTTGTTGCCTAACTATGGCCTATGAATTTCTTTCGTTTTGATTAATTTTGACTATTTGCAATGTAAACTTTTGTAGATTTCTCCTGTAGGCTTAACACTCCCCACTAAATGTTTTCTTATTTTGTATTATTCATAATTATTTATGTTTATTTGTATTTTTTTGCATTGAAATATGGAACACTAGAGTTTAAAATAGTTTGTAACTAATTTTAATGCAACTGCGTTTTCCCATTTTGGTTTCATATCAATATTCATTCATTTATATGCTTATACATAAATTTTTTTCAATTTTCATTTTTTTCTTTTAATTGCTAAGTTCAATTTGTTTTCATTTAACAACACTAAACATTTTTGTTTTCTTGGGCTTTCTAATATTGTAGAGCTGTCACTCAATATTTTCTCTCGTCTGTAAATCGAATACTTACAACAACTCGCTTACGTTAAAGTCTTGCTATACGTACGAAAAAGTTCTGTAGATTTCTCAATATATATATATATTTATATATAATTTATTTTCTGGTTTGTTTTCGGTTTTCAATATTTCCCCATAATGTTTTTGTTGCTCTTGTAAATAGTTCATATCAACCTTTAATTTGCATCAAAACGTTTTATTTATTTATTGTGTGTCTGCTCTAGATGCAGGACGAGGGCGCGGCTATGGTGGCCGGCGTCACGGTGATTGTGGTGGCTGGCAGGGCGGCCACTGTGGTTGCCACCACCGGGTAATGGTGACCCACAAAGGCGTGCTGCTGATGATGATGGTGGATCAGGCCGTGATGCTGATGCTGCTGCTGCTGTTGTTGCTGTTGCTGCTGCTGCTGTTGGGGTGTTGCTGTGTACTTAAGTACATGTTGCTGCGGCAGCGAGATGAAGGGCGCTGCCTGTATCGGTATGCAGTTCGAGTTGTAGTCGCTGCTCAGCACCAGAGTGGGCGTGGCGTCGGTATAATAGGCCGGCGCCTTCAGAAATGCGGCTGCCGGTGCTGCAGCGGCAGCGGCAGCATACTGCTGCTGCGGTGTCGGCATTGTTGCCGTCGATGTGGTGGACAGCGTGGTGGCCGACGATAGCGTGGGCGATGTGGCTATCGAGCACGACGACGACGAGGAGGCCGACGAGGGGGAGTATGGTGAGCTGCAGTGATAGGTGATGTGTTGCTGTTGTTGGTGTTGTTGATAGATGTTGCTGGCGTGGTGTGCGACAGCCGCTTTGTTCGAGTTGCTGTGATAGTAGTTGGTGTTGTAATTGTATTGCTGCTGCTGCTGCTGTTGTTGTTGCTGCTGCTGTTGTTGCTGCTGTTGCTGATGTGGCTCAATGATGATCAAGTTGTTGTTGCTGCCGTTGTTGTAGCCGGCAGCAACTGCTGCAGCTGTTGTTGTTGCCACCGCCGCCTGCTGCTGGTGCTGCTCACTGGGATTGGTGATCATGGCAGCCATTATGTTGGCCGGCGGCAAGACAATCGGTATATGATAGTATTTACATTGCTTGCGACGGCACTGGCTGTTGGCATGATCCCGGCAGACAGCAACACGTTGATCAATCACCTCGACCTTGTCATCTATACAGAGAAAGAGAGAGAGAGAGAGAGAGAGAGAGAGAGCGGAGCGTGGGAATAGAAAAAATTCATTGATTAGTAAACGAAGATCAGATGTAAATTTCATTGATTTATTATTGATAAACAGTGAAAGCAATTATAAAAATAATTGTTTTGATTTTTGATTTTGACTTTTGAATTCTTGTGAAACTTGAAAGCACAAAGGTGTTCTTGGTTACGCTTCTTCTTGAGCTAATCGTGAGCAATAAATATGTAGCGTTCATTCAGATTTGATTTTGGTGCAAATGAAAACGGACTTGAGTTGACTTGAGATTGGATTTGCTGAACTAGAAGAGAGTCCTACCCCGGGTAGAGTTACATACTTTATATATATATATTGTATGTAAACGGAAACATATGGAACGAACCAATTCATGTGGTTAAAATTTTCTTTGCGTGTATTTTTGTGTGTGTAATTTCTTGGAAACTTGATAGAACCTAAAAGGGAAACAAATCGAAACAAAACTGAGAACGGGTAGATCAAATTAAAAGTGTCGCCAATTGAGCTAAAAAAAAAACATATATATATATATAGAGAATTAAGTAATTGTATTTGGTGTTTGTCTCTCAGCTACAGAACGTAAAAAATTAAGTTTTTTCAAATTGTTTTTTCCACTATAAGAAAAGCAGTAAAAGCAACGCAAGAACTAAATGCTAAAACTAAAACTAAAAGTGCTACAAACTATGAACTGAAAAGGGAAAAACTTAAGCACATGCACTTACCTTCAGTTAAATGAACGAATCTACAATTTAACCGACTGCACATAGATCTATTAAAATCTTGGCACACCGGGAGGGTGTCCAGTAACTATATATAGATTTTGTATGAGAAGATTTGATTTCATTTTTGTTTTGGAGTTATGGCAGGATGCAAACGTAGTAAACAAACCAATTGACAAAATAATAATTAAATTTTTTTTGGTTGAATTGTTTCAGTGTAGTTTGATTATTATTTTTTTAATCATAGTTTTGTTTTTTGGGGGATTTTCGTTTGAAAAAAAGAGAAGAGCAGAAAAAGAAAAGAAAAAGAGCACAAATTAGTTATATTCTTATAATAATTATATGATACACTAGAATTGTTAATCGTTGGTTAGATTAATTACGCTTTGGGTACATTTTCTTTTGTTGTTGTTTTTTCTTTTTCGATTGTCAATGTTAGTCGCTGCTTAATACATAATAGTTATCATGTTTCATGATAGATACATTAATTCGTATGTTAAGCTAATTTCTCACTTAAATAATCTTAAAGGCAAATAGGAGAATAAATTATAAAATGGCGGCGCAAATGAATTTAAAAACTTTTTTCCTTTTTGGTTTTGATTTTTTGTTTTTTTTTTTTTTTCAAGTGTATTGCGTATGAGTCCTGAGGTATGAGACGCAGCTATGTATATAAGTATGTGTGTGTTCGATAGTTTTCGGTGTTTGATGTTAATGCTAATATAAATATATAGAAAAAAAGTTGGTATTTTAACAAAAATTTGTGTTTTCGATTGTTTTTGGAAAAACTTAAACGCTAAGCTTAAAAATAAAGTTTTGCCACAAAAGCTTTAAGTCGAACTTAAGGAAATCTAGAAATCAATGTAGAAATGAAACACCTTTAAAGCAGCAAGTATTGGACAACTAAAACTTAGCTTTTGATATAGCCAAACTGTTTATGGATAAGCCAAGAAGCTTTTAAGCACAGCATAGAGACAGATAGAGCGAAAGGGGGAGAGACATAGAGAGAGACAGAGTGGGAGAGCGAGAAAGAGCTTTTAGGTCTGTAACACTCACTTTTTGATAAGGTTTAGAACGCGCCTTAGTTACGATCTATCGATAGATATATAGATTTCTATATATGTATGTGTTAACGACATATGCATTATACAGAGAAAGAGATTATTCATTTTGATTGTTTGCTTAAGTTCTAGTGGGCTGAATTATGCAGTAACAGTTACATATCCTAATAGGCGGCACTAGAAATATAAGAAAAAAAAGAGAGAAAAGAGAGAGAGAGAACGTAATACATACGCAATGTTAATTTGTATACCATTATAAAGTGGCCTGTGTTTTATGTTTTCGTTGAAATAATTAACTAATTTGTTTTTCATTTATTTTTTAATTTTTTGTAAGAATAAAAAGAAACAAAAACGAGAACGGAAAATGAAAACGAGAAACCAAATTATAAATTTGGCCTTGAATAGCGCGCAAAAAGCTGCTAAGCTGAACAGAATATCGAAAGCTTGAAAGCTCCAACATAATTATTGCGATCGCCTTGAAAGCGCTTTAAAGCTTAAAGCTCATTCTACAGAGGCTGCAATACTATGGGATGAGCATTGAGTATGTTGTATTAAAAGTGTTGCAAAGCACACAATTTTATTTATTTTTTTATTTCTGGTGACACACAAATTAACAAAGAGCAAGAGTGAGACAAACAGAGAGAGAGAGAGATAGATAGAGAGAGAGAGAGGGGGACTTGGGAGAGTATCGCTGTAAGCATATTGAATGTAAATAATGTTTAAATCGCTGGCCGCTCTTTACCTAATTATGTAAAATGTGCCATTCATTAGCATAGGACACTGAGTGTATAAAACGCCCCGTTCCGGCTGGGCTGTTGTATGAGTATCAAACAGAGAGAGAATATTGATAACGGATTAGCTTGGCAATGTCTATAAGGTTTTATACAGTTTTATTTGCTATTGTTTTCATTTCGTTTTTTTTTTTTTCTTTTTATTTTCAATTTGGCAAATATTGACGACAGGTGGTATACATGTATGTATATGTGTGTGTATGTGTGTGTGTGTTTGGGTGTGTGTCTGTGTGCGTGTGTGGGCGTGGCGTATTGGGTCAGACAGTTGTGCAAACAGCTGCTAACAGCTACGACACACTCAAAGGTGTGTCCATGTCAGCGCGCTGACATCATCGTCGACAACGTTGGCAACGCCTTCAAAATGGCCGTCGACACTTTGTTCATCGTTCCCGTTATTGTTGTTGCTGTCGTTGTTGTTGCTGTTGCTGTTGTCTTTATGGTCTGGCTGTTGTCGTCGCTGTCCCTTGCTGTCCCTTGGGGCGCGGCAGCGCATTTAATTTGATTAACCCAATTCACGCAGCCAGTGTGGTGAAATGTGTAGCACAGTAGCCGGCATATACACTATTCTTGGCCTTTGTTTGCACAGTCGGTGTGTATATTTGCAGGTCGTTATATATATACACAGTTATATATATAATAGTTGCTTAATTGCTAAGATGTTTTCTCATCGGACAGGTGGGGCACCGGGATTTCGGCAAGCCGTAAAATAGTTTGAAAGTTCTCTTACTTTAGATAGAGTTGCGACACTTAATTATTATTTAAATATGACAATTTCGCGGATTATTAAACACTTGCTGCTCTAATTGTGTTTGTATTTCTAGTTGATTACATAAACATAAAATACAATTGAATATTTGAATTTAGTCTGGGCATTGTATGTGTGTGTGTGTTGTCTTTACAGAAACAAAACTTAAAACTAATGTAAGGAGAAAGAGAGAGTGAGATAAATTAAATTAAATGTCAAGTGTTAGCATTAACAGCCGCTTAACATGCTGCCAACAGGCTGTTAGCCAGCCAAAGGCGGCGACTGTACCTGGCCGCTGGCATCGGTATATATAACACAGGAAGCATTTAGTGGCGGTATTTTAGTGTTTGCTATAATTATCGATAGTCACAAAGCCGGCAAAACATGCAATTTGCATTTATTGGTGTTTAAATTAGAGAGAGAGAGAGAAAAAATAATAGACATATGTATATATATTTGTATGTGTGAGGTGATTAGAGCCAGAGCCAGAGAATGAAGAGTAGAAGAATGTGATTGTTTATTGTTGGTTTGTTGTTTTTGCAGTTCGGCATCCATTTAGCATTTGGCAGGTGTGTGAGTGAGTGTTGGTTTTTGTGTGTGTGTGAATTTGCGAGTACATTTGGTTGGTTTCGTTATTTGGTTGCATTTTGCCATTTGAAATTCCAATCCGTGCGAGTCGTTCAAAATATATATTTAAATTGATTGCATGCAAATATTTTTCGGTTGGTTGTTATATAATTGAACGCGTATGTGTTAGCATGTAAAAGGAAAAAAATTTATATATATAAAATTAGTAGAAAAAAGAAATTATGAGAGCGCATATGCAATAATCATAGAGTCGAGAGTTCGAATTAAATTGCAATTGGTTTGGTTTGCTTTCAATATTCATTGGGCGGAGGCTTAAATTAAGCTTAAGCTGCATTTGCGGTTCAGCAGCATTTTTCGTGTTGTGGCAATTAGTTAATAATTATGGCGAATATTTTATTGAACATATCAATCGAAATATGAGTTGAACTCAATAGAAAATATTAAATTTAATTGAAATTCGTTTCATTTGAAATATCTACATATCTCGATATATTTCATGTACATAATCCCTGTGTATTCCACTGATGATTACATCATATATATCATATATGTATATATGTATATCGAATCCGTTTCTAAGCTCCACATATTAACCTGGACGCAGCTTACATCCAATTTAACACTCAGCTGCGCCCTAATTACTTGTGAATTTTCATTTTATGCAAATTCAACAGGCTCACAAAAAATTGCGTAGCCTCGGAAAAACCCGAGTTAATAAATGTAAATTAATGCCAAGCCTTTCATGTGCAACGTTTTTTTCACTTTTTTCCTGCCATTAAACTTCGCTTGACTTGTTGCTACAATTAAAAGTTTTGCCAAACACCGAAAAAGAAGAGAAAAAAAAAAATGCTGCTGCAACGTATATGCGAAATGGCGAAACGCACTTAAAACTAGAGTAAATTAGTAAAAATTACAATTTAAGCATAATCATATACGCTATGCTGTGGGGCTTAAGCGAGTTAGTTAGTCTAGGTATTAAGCAGAAGCTGTAAAACAAAAGTAAAATTTTATCAAAAATATAAAATGTAAAATCAATGTAATCAAGCGCGCGCTAAAGCATTAAGGGGGCTGCAACTGAAACAAGAAAGAATATGCCATCAGAGATGAAATTATATGTAATTTTCAAAAAATAATAATAAAAAAAAAAATTTAAAAACAGCAGGCGGCAGCAAAAATTGTGTATTTGAAGCGCATTTAAAAATGTTTGTTACTGGCGCAGCGGCTGTAATTAAAAAACAAACAGACAATTTAAATACTCATATAGTTGATATAAATATATTTAAAGAGCTATCAATTATGTATATATGTATATGTAGAGGCAGTTAGTTAGGACTCTGTGACACAGGAGACAGGCACACACAGAGAAACGTAAAATGGTAAATAAACAACTTTAACAGTAATGCGAATACTTACTACATTAAGTACATACAAACAAGCCTGCAAGAGTCGATCAAATATAAGTACAGATATATATATATGTACATCATGTATATATATATCATATGTGTGTGCGTGTGTGTTTGTGTGTGTGTGGGTGGCTAGGTGTGTGTGTGTGTGTGAGTGTGCTACAATTTTGGCGTATACTCAATATCCAGAACGAGTTGTAATCGAAGCAACAGTTAAAACGCATCGGATGAGCAGCTCAGTTGAGTCTGTGTGGGTGTGTGTGTGTTGGTGGGTGTTGGTCTATGTAAGTGTGTGTGTCTATCAATTAAATTTAGTTTACAAAGCTTTGGAATTTGCCTGCAAGCATATATTGTTTTTTCTTTCTTTTTTCTTTAAATAATATGACAGCTCTGTGTTGTTGTTGTTGTTGTTTTCGTTGTTGTTGTGTGTGCATGTATTTTGATCAGCATACAGTCATACAATAATACTTTCGTAATCCATGAAAAAGAAAAGAGTCATGTTAATAACATTTCTTGCAACGGGCTTTACCACAAAACTTAACATATGTAAATTAACAGCCAAAGAGATCAGAGCGAGAGAGAGATTTGACATTTAAGTGTTAAATGCAAAGAGCAAATTTATCGGCAATATCTTAACATAATTTGATGAAACTAATTCATATTTTCATTTCTCTTTCTCTCTCTCTCTCTCTTTCTAATGTCTTTGACGTTTAAGCATTTCTGAACTAAAAATAAAGCTAAAAACGTAAAAGGAGAAACATTATATCTAGTCAAGTTACTAATTACTAATTAAATGTTTTGAATAATATCATATACATACGTTCAAGTATAATAAAGAAGCTCATTGGGCAGTGCACCAGCTTACCTTAGAAGTGCGATTGTTTTTATTTATTTTTTTAGCTTTTTTTTTTGTTTTGAGTATTGTAGCTCAGTTACCATCATACCACATGCCTGAGAAGCCGATATACGAGTATAGTAAATAAACGTAATGCGTATTTAGCGGGTACTTCGAAAGATTCAATCACAGTTAGCATGAGAGTGACAGCCACTTGCAACACTGGACTTCAAATTTGTTGTTGGCGATACGGATTTGATTCGTTTCTGATATTTGATTTTGTACTTGCTACGAAAAGTTCTTGTTTCATTGAGCACATGCTGAAAAATTACAATACGATACGCTCCAAAAAGAAAAAAGTAAAAAGAAGAAGAAGGAAAATACGAACAAATAATAACGAGTAACGGATATTCAACAAATATGAGAGAGGTACAGAGAGAGAGAGAGAGAGAGTTACGTAACATGTAGAAGAGAAACGTACTTCCCACTATGGAAGGAGTATTTATATATATAGATTTATATATATAAGAACAACCTGTACGAGTGTTGCGTGTAACAGCAAAAGAGAGAGATACAGAGATGGAGAGAGCGAGATAGCGAGAGTGTGGGGACATTGAAAAGATTACTGCATTGTGTGAGTGTTTGTGTGTGTTTGGAAACTCGCTGGAAACTTTTGTAATGCATTCAAAGAAATTCGAAAATTTACAACTTCTCATCGGAAAAAAAAGTTAGAAGTTATCATTCAGACTCAATTTATATTATCTCATTTTGATGTATAGAAACATGCAAGAACTGTGGATCAGATAGTCTACTAGAGTGTAAAGAGAGGGGCGGACGGAGACAGAGAGAGTTTGTGAGAGAATATTAATTGTATTTGACATATAAAGAGACAGACAGAAAGAGAGAGAGAGAAAGAGAGAGAGAGAGAGAGAGACTTAAATGGAAATTAAGACAAAGTGTAAAAGAGCACAAAATGTTAGCAAAAACAAAATTATACATGTTGGTTCTTGTTTTAAGCATTTCTTTGAAACATTACAAAAGCGCTTAACTCTAAAGAGTATAGATATATATGTATATATATAGGCAATTGTATATATATTATTGAATAATATAATGCTTCCATACACATAAACTAGTTCTTAAGTTGTCATAAGCAATACAGTAATATTTTCAATTACAAACAGAAAGTACCAGCTCGAGCAAGCCAAGTGTGGAAAACTGGAGTACTACGAGTACTATCTCGCTTGTGTGTGGGTGTGTGTGTGTGTGTGTATGTGGGTGTGTGTGTGTATGCATCGATATTGAAATTAAGAGAGGCGAGCAGAGAGCACACATTGATAAACGCCCAATGAAAGGTATTTCAGAAAGCTTTCAAATATAGTTAGCAAAAGTAAAAGGAAATCAAGGATGCTTTTTTTTTGGAGTTAATTTAAGAGCAAACAGTTATATGTACCAGCAAATCTAATCGTATTAATTAGCAAAATAATTATAAAATAGGTTTAGCCCAGAAATAAACTCATAATAAATAGCAAAATAAATATGGAAAATAATTTAGAATCAAGGACAACGCACAGTAAAAACTTTTTAGATTAATACAATATGTGTATGTGTGACTGTGTGTATGTGAGTGTGTGTGAGAGAGAGAGAGACAGTCAGAGAGAAAGAGAAAATGTACGCAGAAGTATTAGTGTAAAGTTTTTGCCATTTAGCACTTTCCAGTTAACGAGAGTTAAGTAAAAGAAGCAACAAGTTTTTTACGGTTTTTACAATAAAACGTTTATATAATTTTCAATATAATAAATATTTGTTTTGTTAATTTTTGCATTTTTTTTTGTTTTGTATTAGTTTTCATTATTTTATAATAACGCATAGAGTTAATAAGACTAATTTTTGTGTGGATCTTGTTTTGTTGTTTAATAGCACATAGAACATATTCATTAAGTGTTTGCTTGTATTGGTTGCTTTGTGTTTATGTAGTGTATAAGTCATATATATAGGTATATAGTTTTTTCTTCTTCTTTTAATTATCATAAAACAATTTCGTTTTGTTTAGTTTTCTCTTTGCTCAGAATACATGCATTAGTTAACTTAGATACACTGAAATTTCTCGCTTTGTCACTTTTCATTAATCGATTTTCTGCTTTTTGGATCAAGTTTTCTAGTTTCTTGATTGATCTAAAAGTTTAGCCAGGTGAAATCAAAATGAGAAATGTACGAAATGAAAATGGCATCAGTTGCTGATGCGCCATACATTAGTGGAATAAAATGTTTTTTCTTTTTATCAGTGTTGTGTTTCTTTTTTATGTTAAAATGTGGTGTACTTTACAAAAAGTGTGCTTCTCTTATCTACAAAATATAAGTATAAAGTCTATTATCAATTGTGGCCGTGCGCGAACTACGCTACATGTTCTCTGTTCTGGTTTTGTTTTTCTGGACGGTACTGTATTTAGTGGCTTTCTACGTTTGGGCTAAGCTCAGCGTAATCGCAATTGGAATTTTTGAAGACTGTACGAGAGCTGCA